GTTCTCCCTGAGGGCCCTGTTCGCCCATTGGGCCTTGTGGTCCTCTTGGTCCCTGTTCTCCCTGAGGTCCGTCTGGTCCAGGATTGCCTGCCATTCCGTCTTGTCCTGGGTCTCCTGCTGGGCCAACAGGTCCTGGTGGGCCAGGTGGTCCTTGTGGGCATGGTTTGCATGGTGGTGGAGTGATCACTTCACATGGTCGTGCTGGTGGACGGCCAGGAACACCTGGAAGACCAGGTGCGCCTGGTTTTCCTGGTTTGCCGGGTTTGCCCTGTGGGCCTTTTGGTCCCGGTGGTCCGGGTAGACAGCAGTCGTCACACTGGCCGTAATTATATCCGGCTTGCCTAGCGGTCCTGTTGTTCCTTACTGGCAGTGATTTTAAGTAACCAACTTCAGCAAAGATGTCTTTAGCGGATCCCTAAATATTTTTTAGGCGTTTCAGGCAGGGCTTTACGTTCGTAATGGTAAAAAAAAGAAGTAGAGCGAAAACTGAACAAAAACATTAAAACTAATTAGGGAAGTTACCGTATCAATCTTGGAGTGGCAATTCAGGGTAAACAATAAAAGTTGTAAAAAATTTTTGCTGGGGCAAAAAAATTAAAATAGCAGCGCTACAAAAAACTTTCACAACTTGAAGAAAAAACCAAATCCGTTTGTTATATTACAATAATAGAATGTAAAAATGTTGGTGCCACTAAAAGGTGATAGATGCATTGAAAAAGTAGAAAGTGTTGAAGTACAGTATCCTAAAGCTAACTATACAACAAAATTTCAATTTTTTAACTCTGTCAAATACCTATCATAGTAGGATGGGTGCCGATATGCAGCAAAAAAAAAGACGAAAATTTTTTGCAAAATTAAATAAACTTTGTGGCGATACAAAGAAAAAATCTGAAGTATGAGACGAAAAGGAATAAGATAAACAGGAAAGAAAAAATTATATGTGTGAATATTAGGTAAAATCACCTTGCATAAGCTGATTTCGGTGTGCATCTGTCGCCGGACTTCATGCACATAGTCATAGACCATCGGTAGGGTAACACAGATGGAGAGTACGGCAACAGCCGAAAAACTTATCGCCGAATAGGCTACAAACTTGTATGCTTTAATACGGCCGTCGACTTCCATTTTTCTCACTCAGTACGTTCGGTTGTGAGGTGGTGGATTCGACGAACTGATACTTCGGCAGAGCATTTCACAGCGCTTTTATTTGCTTTCTGGGCAAAAAAATTTTGGTGGGCGTGTAGCAGAGAAAATGTTTCTGTCGTCGGGTGTTCTGCTTTTTTGTTGTTCCTGTCGTTGTTTTTATTGTTGCTGTTGGTGTTGTTGTTGCTGTTGCTGCTGCTGTTGCTGCTGTTGCTGCTGCTGCTGCTGCTGCCGATGTTGCTGCTGATGATGATGGTGCTGCTGATGTTGCCGATGCTGGTGGTTTCTTCGTTTTTGGTGGCAGAGGGGTACGGAAAGAGAAAGGCAGAAAAAGGGGGACATCAGGGGATGGGCAGACCGAGGAGACGGAATGGGAGAGGCAGGAGAAGACGGCAATGAAAAACAACAAAAACGCCTGAAATATGTTATCAGTCGAGAAAAAAAATTTTTTTCTTTGAAAAAAAAAATTTCTTTATTTTTTTTTTTTTGCCTCTTAAAGGTTTGGCAACGCCTGCGGCGAAGGTGCATTCTTTTTTACAAAAATTTGTCGCCTTTATTTTCTGTTTGGGGAACTGTATTTGTATGTATTCTGCAGTCGGAGTAGTTTTTTATGGGCATTTGCTTTGTAAAGCTCATTTCCGTCAACTTTACCACTTCTCACGTATTCCACTAAAAAAAATTCTCGTTTTTCGCAACTGTATCAACCAAGTAGTTTGGCTTTTTTCCTTTATTCTGTCTTTTTCCTGTTGTTGTTGTTGTTTTTTTTCTTTTTTTTTTTTTTTAGCGTTCCTGGGGAGTATATGTTCTAACTTTTTTCTTTTTTTTTTTTGAATGACAATGAATTCAATTACTTACTCTGTATACGTCATTATACAATGATACAATAATACTTGTAGCTTTGAAATTTAGTTAAGATTGAACTGAGGCCAACAAGTATAAAGTATGGTGGTACGCGAGAAATGTTTTTAGTCAAAAGTAGAATTTTTCTTTCGTTTATGAATATTTGAGTAACTTTTTTTTTTTTTGTTTTTGTATATTTAAATGGAATGATTCCAAAAACAAAGTTGTCATTTTTGTGTTTTTTTTATTACGTCTGTAAAAAAAAAACGAACAAAATTATCCACTTACCGTAACTTATTCGGTTGTGTTCAGTTTTGTATTTAATACCATTCACCAAAACTTTTACTGGTTTTCTTTGCTGTTTTATCTTTTTTTTTTTTTTGTTCTCCCGTCTAACCCCGTACTGTATTTATTCTTCCACCTTCCATCGATGCATTTTTTTCGCCTTATTTTTTTTTTTTCTTGCATTTGCCATTTTACGTTAAACTGAATCAGCTTAACGGTGAATAGCAATTAGTGGACTAACCAAAAAAAAAAAAAAAAAGGAAAGGAAAAGGAAAAGGAAAAGGAAAAAAAAAACAAGTAAGATCAACGGCTGTATTTGATACGTGGTGTAGATTTGTTCAGAAACTTGTATCAGCAGTTGTAACAGGAGGACCGATCATAGTGATAGGGGGGGGAGGGGGGGGGGGTTACAGCAAAATGTGGCCTGACAAGTTTCCCTAGAAAAAATTTTTTTTTATCTTCCAAAACATATTTTTTTTTTTTTTTTTTTTTTTTTTTTTT